AGAGTGTACATATTTGTGGAGCATTCTTACCGCGAAATGACGATACGCAAATATCACGGTGCATTCAACGTACGTGCTTCTCGGAATGCAACGTATATTATTTCCTAGCGTGTACTCCACCCTGCCGCTTCCTGCGTCGCAGAAGAAGTCTCTCTAACGCGTTGAAAAATTTGTCAGCCGCGTAACGCTGATCGAGATGTAACCGTTGTTTCACCGTTTATCCGTGTAATACGCCAAATATTACGCAAATGCGATGCGATAATCGTTATATACGAATTGTCGCGAATTTGCGCGCGCAGAGGAGATTAAGTACAATGTCAATATTGAACAGATCAATATTGAAGATCGATAAGATAGCCTAGAGGGAATCGTAGAAAATAAGGGGAAAATTACTTTGTACCGTGGAGAGATATTAGCGGAGAATTGTTTCTTCTTTTTCGTTTCGTTCCTGACCTTGCAAAACACGAACCGAGAGCGAGTTTTTATTCGACGAATAAAGATACCACGGTCTTTTTGACCGATAACGTTGCGCGCTTTATCGGATAATGTTTGCGCGAGAAGTTCATTAACTTGGCACGCAAAGATAATTGTACAATCGATGACATAAACTGACACATGACGACCGCCTTTTAACACGCGCCATGTCGCGCGAATCGTACCAAAAAGGAACAAAAAAATAACGATAAGAGTATAGGATATTTTAGGTTAGGATAAACTTAGTAAACTTTACGATATTTCTCATCTCTTCGGGGAACAAAAAGAAGTAAAGAAAAAGAAGCGAAAATAAATTTAGTATTAAAGTTGGATAAGTACTAACGTTATCGTCCTTAAAAAGAAATGTTGATATTGCGATTGAAATACGCTCTATAGACGAATATTTCGTAATGGCCGGTCGGTAAATGAAGTGCTGATTTAAATCTAGTTATCGATCAGTACAATGACGAAATGTTAGAACGAGAATCAAGGTCAACCGAGATACTACTCCGTAAAGTGTAGCTGTTTCCTCCTACGGTCTACCCATTGGTTTATACCGTGAAAGATTAGCATATCGTTTAAGCCGAAGTTTAAAAGACTTGGCTACATTGAAAGCGAGCGCACTGAACACGGTATATCGTGTTTCCAACATGTTCCGTGAAATGCACGAGACAAAGTACGCAACCGGTTTTGTTCCTCGCACTATACACGCACGTTTAATTGCCGCGGTTAAATATTTCCCAGTGTTCGGTTCGATTGCGTTAACAGTGAATAAACCGCGCGACGACGATACCGACGCGATTTTTCCCTCTCGACGCGTTTCGACATGGACGCTAACGAAACTGGAATATTAATCGGGAATCGTTTAGACACCTGTACCTTATCCGCAACATTCGACGCGATGTATGGAACGACGCTGAAGTCTGGATTTCGGAAGGAATAACAAAGAGACGAATAATCCGAGCAAGCTAGTTAGAAAATGGTGCGCTGTTGCAATAACTGCAACACAGACCCCTTTCGGAGGTACGATCACCCTAGTGGTGTCGATGGACGCAGCCCGCGAGCGCAAACGTGTCCAATGTACTTGCCAGTCAGCGTGCTCCTTCTCTCTCTCGCTCTCCACCTTCTCCCTCTTTTTCTACCCCTTCTCCCATCCACTCCTTTCTCTCTCACCTCGGAGAAGTCTGCCTTTGTCCCTCTCTCGTTCGACAGTAAAGAGACCAGCGAAGAGATGTATTCCAAGGTTCGGCACTCCTGGTTCGCGAATGACGCTTCTTTCAGCTAGGTTAATATCGATGCAAACGGGACGACTCGACAGAACGACGCACGTTAAGAGAGTAGAAACACGCGCTGAGCCACGTGGTCGACGGTACTTGCTAGTAACGGTACTTTTGGGTCATCCGATAGCAGCCAGAGGGTTTCCAGCGTAGACGAACGTAACCACGAGCGCATACCTGCTCCCGCGACGAATCACCGACTACCACGGATCCTACCGATATAAGGATCCTCGATAGATTACCGCGAGTGGACGAGGAGGACAGTACGACGATCGAGTATGACGACAGGCAAGAGGTTCAGTAGCCGCCGAAGCAGCGTGTGTACACTACTGCCACTCGTACGGCTCCCACACAACGCGCTAGAGCGAAGACACTGAGAGAGTTAAGAGAGAGAGAGGAACCGGCTCGCGACTGTGTCGCCGCGTCTCCGTCTCGACCAACTTCTACCAGGCGCGGCACTGCATCGCGCGCACGATACCGACGCGTCACTACTGGGGAATGTCACGTCTAATTAAGTGGTGTTTCTGCATCGCTCGCTATTATTACCGATCGGTAGTGATTGCACGCTCACGCGTGTTCATCTGCTACACGAGAGGTACATTGTACGCGCACGCGCGGACAGATGCGTTACGACTGTATTAAATATTTATAATACCGCTAGGATCCCCGATGAAAAGAAAGGCTTTGCAACTATATATACGCAATGCAGCCGGAATTTTATCCGGCAAGATGATTTCTCGTCATGAATGCGAAAGTATTACTTTCCTGTTTTACGATTCTATTTCCAGATCTTTTTAGCCACTCGTTCCAAGTATTTCTTCCAATGCAAACGCGTAAACAAGATTATACTTGTTACACGCGTGTATGTCCTGTTTAAGTTTTTAAAAGTTTTTAAATTGTGAATTTGCTTGTAGCGTTAATGAAATATGTCGGTAATTAGGATAATGTTGTCTTATGAGATGACTCGGGGGAATTTGGTAAAATGATCATTTTTAATTAAATCATCTTTTGAGCATTTTTTCAATTTATATTTAGAAGCAATTATCAGTTTCGAGAAGCCCGAATTATTTTTACTTTTTATGTCGAATAACATCGATAATGCAAATTATAAATGAAAACAGATACAGATGTAGCATTTTTTAAACGTAGTTTTTAATTTTACTTCGGCATCTTTATCATATTCGTCGAACAGGAACTTATTGAGCAACAGTCGCATATGTCGGTAAATACGAACTTGATCGTGTCGATAAAACAAGTCATATGCATAAGTAGTTATCAATAAACAACGAATATTAACAAATATAAAAGAAACACATTTTTCTTCATTTTAAAGCATTCCTTAAAATTTGTTTATTTTCTGACGAAAAAAATACATCGATTATACTTTGTTATCGACTGTTGAATCAAAAAAATTCCAACTGTTGTTGATTTACATAAAATTATACTTTTACAAAACACTCGAAAATTAAGTAACAGCTTTATTAATTGAAACGAGACTCGTGATTTAAATACGTTGTTCGATACATGATTATCTACACGAGTATCCTGATGTCATTACAATGATAATTAAATTTAGTATGACTTGCAAATCTGCTTTGCATATTTTAAAGTCATTTAAATTAATTTTTTCACTTTATTTTTTTTTCATATTCGATATCAAAACAACAATTAAGGAAACATAACGTAGATACAAAGATTAAACTCTACGTAAATGCTACATTTGGATTATGAAACATTTTTTCATATTTGGGGGGAAAAAATAAAGAGAGAAAGATAATATCATTGTGTAAACCGCACACGACTCACCTTTATTTTGCGGTGGTGTCCTCCGCATCTCACAGGGGGCTCCACTGTCCTCAGCAACGTGCGGTGCAGCGGCTGGCGCACTTCCGGTCGTACGTTGCTGTTGTTGTTGAAATTGAGAATGGTGATGTTCGTAAAGCTGCTGCTGCTGTTGTTGTTGTTGCTCTTGTTCTTGTTGTTGTTGTTCGTTTGACGGCGCTGATGCGCTCGTTTCAGCCGGAGAGCATGGGCTATCAGGAGCAACCGTTGTACTTTCATCAGGTGAACTCACACCTGTAATATCTGCAGTCACAAATAAAACAGAAATAAAGGCTTATGGGCGTGATTTCCCGAAATTCGGTTGAAACGTTTAAAATGTCTGGGTGTCGATAAGAATACAGCGTACAATGTATACGAACAATGGAACCGTGATTCGAGGTAAATGTTCAGCAGAACGAACACAAAATTTTTCGATATTTTAACTTTACTTGATCAGTATCCTAAGGAATCTAACATTTTTCTCTCTGTCCTATTGGTTTAATATTTTTTATTCCACTTAAAGTCTACGTACTTTACAAACACAATATGAAGAACAATAAGAACACTCGAGAGTTTCGCACTAATTTTCAGTCTCGACAGATAGTTACACGCACTACCAACACATTCCCTGAGATATTTGACTAGTATCTTCACAGTTTCACGCGTGTATACGTTTAAGATCCTAGTTGTTTCTCTTCTCGCACGTCTCGGCGATACAATTTAACACGTGTTATTAAGCGACAATTAATTGGCAAGGAACGGCCTTTCTCACGAGGAGAAAGATTCTTAAAGGCCCAGTAAGAGTTTTGATTCTTCGAAACGTGACGGATGAGCTATCATCATTCCCGGTGTCCTCTAAAGCTTGATAATACGGACAATACTAAATCCCGTTTCAACTCATTCCCACAAATGCTTTTGACCGTATTGATATCTGATCACGTTTTTTCTTTCAATAAACAGGTTCTTTCTTGGTTTTCTTTTTTCCTTGTGGGACCAATTGTCACGCCGATCTTGACGATTCAAAGGTGGTCAGGGCGACATCTGTCGGTCCGCCGGGGGAAAGTCCGTACGTGTACGTGCTCGACGTGCACGCGAACACGGCCCCTCGCGAACTAGAGGCCATGTTGCGTCGCTATGTCGACGATTGGCTCCGCCTTTCCCCGCGTCCCCCACCAACGGTGAGCTAGGAGCGCTCTTTTTCGCCAATCGGACGCAGGCTGAACCCGCCAACGACACTGTCGGTCGTGCGCTCTACAAGACGGTCCACACTGCAGAAGAACGTGCAGGTGTGTTCGACCACGGTATCTATATACGAAGGCGTACACGTCCTATAGTTATATCCTGTATCTGCACATGTGTCGGTGGCAGCATTTCCTCACGTGCCGCTCCTGCGCTCAGCTCACCAGTCGCATTATCGCTTACTTTCCGAGTGTGTCCGCGCGCCCTGAGCTAAATAGAGCTGTAGAAGGGTACAGGCATTCACTCATGTAGGCAAGAAGCGCAAAAACTTTGTAGTTTTTCACAGAACCGAAAATTCTGCTTTTGACAATCCACGGATCCGAGGATAAGCAACGATCGAATATCGCCACGAGTTGTCCCTTCTTTCGTTTTTGTCTATCAATGGTTGTCCATAAAACAAACGGATCCGCCAAGTTAGAAAGTTCTTCCGACAGTGTAACCGATTTTACGTTTCTACAGAATCTACTTCACGTCCGTTTCTTTTTCGTTTTTCCACCACGACGTATATTTTCTAATTCGTGTATAATTTCACGCTTCGAGTATCGAAAAACTCGAAAGGGAATCAGAAGACACTCTACCTCGAATGTTTCTCGTACATTTAACAAGCGTTTAATATATCCACTCGAAATCTATCGTGAAACTAATTCTTTCTTGATTCAGTGTCATATACACGCGTGTTTGAAAAATTCTCGTGCAAGAACTAATCGTTTCATCTCGGGAAATCGTTTATTTAGACGCGGTACGACACGAGCAGTCCGAAGTGTCTCGTCGATCGATGATTGGTTTCGTAAATTGGCCAGACTGTAACCAGTGCAATAAATCAAGATGGCCGTGCGCGTCTGCCAAAAACGGAAGGGTCGACCGCGACAAAAACAAACCTTTTAAAATCGCAGGATGAAATCAGTGATATCTACGATCGTTACGTTCGCCACGAAGTAACGAGGAGGGGGGGGGGGGGGGAAAAGGGAGTTGGGGGAAAAGGAGGCGGGAATAAATGGGAAACAAAGAAAGTGTAGAACAGCTGGAAAAGTGAAAACACGATTCGGTAGAATATCAAACTGCTATGGGGGGAAGACTGGCGTGCTCGGTCGACGTGTGGCTTACTGGCGAATGCGAAAGGGACGAGACACGCTCTCAGGGTATTTACACACATGAAAAGCAGCGTTTACTTTAAAGAAGATAGACTGACATGATTGTCGTGGTCACTTTGTTTTTTGTCGCGTCTTTTTCCCGATTATCTCGAGCCATTCGTCTGCGACCAGATACGACAAAAATGGAAGGAAATACTCGAGTTTCTTGACAATAACATTTTCGCAACCAACCCCCCACCATTGCACCTTTTCTCTTTCTTTCAACGCGAGTAAGCATCAACGCGTACACCCTGCAATTCGTTCGTTCTCACAAAATAAATTTGTCAATATTTTTCGGTGTGCATTGTCTTTTCAAGAATATGTTAGTATCTCGTTAAGTAAGTGGTCTATAGATATTTCGCAGCGAATTACGAAACTACTGCATATCTTCCTTATCAATTCTCATTTATTAGAGCTATATACTTTATCGATATAAATTTATTCCTTATGTTTTAGTTATGTGTTTCAAGTTATTTTAGATTACATCGTTGCCAGCAAAATGGCGGTGGGTCATTCCAAACTGGAATTACGCAGTAATGCAAAAATGGAAGACTACCAACGTTAAATTATTATACAAAACTTTTTTAACATCTCAGAATCGAATTTTCCTTTTATTCATTTCATTTCGTTCCTTTTAACTAGAATTACCGAGGAAAGAATAATTACGTACCGTGTCTGTGCATAAACCGAAGAATCGTAACCGACGTATGCAACACGACTAGAGTCATGCGTGTTTAGCAAAAAGAAAAATGATCGATCCAATGACTAAATCCTACCTTTAGTGGAACTGACTCTGAGAATCTGCGTGTTTTATCCGAAGAAAGGAAAAAATTCGTCATCCCCGAGTAGCGATGTTCACCGAGAGCTCCTGTAAAGGGAGTCGACTACGAACATCCTGTCATGTAAACCCGTAACATGCGATCCTTGTCGAGAAGTTGCGACATTCGTTGCTTTTCTTCCCGATCGATATCTCTGCCGTTAGAATAAAGCTGGCCATTTACCGACGAAGATGGAACTCGCGTTCCAGGATCTCCAGCCTCATTTTCGTCCCTCTTACACCGTATATTTCCAAAAGAATTTCCCCGACATTCGATGACCGACGAATCGCCCCATTCTCGTCAGCCGAAAAACAGGAAACGAGAATAATATAGTAGCTGATACCGGCAATGCAAGAAATCCTTGGGCGATTAATATCACGTGGAAAACGTCGTTCAAGGTTTCGCACTTGAAATTTTCACCCGATATGGACTCGCGATAAACGCGAACCTGATAATTTCGATTATGCAAGAAGATCGCGCAATCGTTATTCTCCGTCCTCGATGATTGTCAGTGGTAAAATGTAGGTGCATTTCCATTTAACAGATTCGAGTTTCAGTTTCGAGTATTCCAGACGTACTCGATGTACGATCGATGTTGTTTCATGAAGATGTAATAACAGTGGGTTTTAATAACGGTGATAACGGTATTGCAAATATAGCCGGAGAAGGGAGGAATAATTATTTAAGATTCAGTGTCGAGATGGTCGTAAAGCTGTGAAGTACAGTATATATGTAGAGTATTTTTGTAACTATAGAACTCTTGCCTGGTGATTCAAGAAACTTTTAGCAAAGTCACAGCAGTCTGCTTGGATTGTCAACTGTAACCTGAAATTTTACGGGTAAGCTGTAATGCTGCAGCCTTTCAAGGGCTTTTAGTGGAGTGGCGAGGATGACGTGACGACTTTTGAAGGATTATTCAAAAGGATGACGCGGAAACTTATACAAAATATTTACTCGGCGAGAAATGTCAAAGAAAACAGTGGGTTCCATTAAATTCGAGACGTGACGATTGTGTACGAGCCTTTAGGCGCTTTTTTCGAGGAAAAGAAATTTACTACGAGAAGAAAGACGGAGGGAACATTTCTGAAACGTAATGTTAACGAAAATGACAGAAAAATAACAAGGACAATAAAAACAAAGAAAAATAACAGCATGACCTCAGGCAATTGTGTATGAAGCTTAAGGCGTTTTTTGGCCAAAACGAAATTTACTATGAGAAGAAAAAAGGAGGGAACATTTCTGAAACGTAACGTTAATGAAAATAACAGAAAAAAGGGACAGCGTGATCTCAAGCAACTATAATGATTTCCGAATGTACCGTGTCACCGTGATTAGTATTAATTGCACCTGGCACACCTGACAGTTAGGTACCGAACCACTCAGACTGACTCATGCGGAACGAATTGCCTTTTTCGAAAGAATTATTTCAAGTTGAATCGAATCGACTAAAAGACACGAGGTATTCAAATTGTTTTCTTAACAACCATTACACTGACCAAAGACAAAATTCTTTCTTCTCAGACGCTTGCCTGGGCTCTTTCTAACATACACGAAATGCCATTTCTTGGCTTCCCCAAGGTATAAGCAGAAAATGAGAAATACTCTTGTATATTTCAAATGAAAGAATATACGAATCTCCTCAACTTCGCATAATTTAAACGGATAATTACAAAAGCATAAACAGCATCAATTTCACTCATTAAAAAGTAATAGCCTCGAATTTTGCGAAAAACGAAGCGTCATTAATATTCCAATAATCCGGGAAACGATTTACCTATCGTACCCATTAATTTCCCAGAAACAAAATTTCAATGGCCACTCCAATGATCCGTTAATCCGACAAGCTCGTTAATTTCGTAGGAAAAATTGGAACGCAAAACGAGAACGAAAATTCAAAAGACAGGGAACCGATTCAGCAACCTTCATTTTCTCGACGACTCGCAAAATTCCCTGTAACAGCACCATATTCGTCCATAATATCCACGGATGTTATAAACACAGACGATTCTATCGGAAACTGGATTGCACCGGGTGCAAAGGATCACACAATGTTTTCCATAGAAAATGGAAGGTCGTC